AGTGTGAGTATCAGATTCGTTTGATAAATCCTATTTTTTTTTTTTTTTTTTTTTTACCTTTTTAAGGGACACATGACTTATTTAGGACGTACAAAACAAGACAAACCGGCAAGCTTGAAAATGTAATCGCCATCACAACAATCGTTGGTCCACTTAGAGCATCTTAGTAATCGTGACACTCCATAAAGCAATGGAGTTAAGGAGGAACTCTGACAATCTGATCCCTAGTCCGGCAGCTCTCTCATTGGGTGTATACCTGGTGCATGTTCTATAACAATGTACAATCGAATTCCAGATATCGAAAGGTTATATTTTTTCAAAAATACAGAAGGTGCTAATGATAGGGCTAAAGTGAATTTAAAATCCATTACACAGAAATATCATAAAATGGGATAGTTGTATGTACAGCCAAATTTATCTACAAAATCCTCGATCGTTTCCGTTGAGAGAGGAATTTTTTAATTGATTGTAGTGTCAAATTAAGATATATTGTTTCAATTCAATCTTTGATTGGTCTAGAGAATTTACACCATGCATTCTATCGACTATCAAGAGGCCAAACAAAACCAGTCGCAAGGTGTGTTTCTGAGTTTGTCTTCAAATCTGAGTCTGCAATTTCCCGCTTTTAGTAAACCTAGGAGTTGAGTCATCATGATACAAATGCTACATTTATCGTAGGTTAGCTGTATTTCTTTATCGAGGTTCCACATGACAAGTTCTTTTCTAAAACATTTTTTTTCAACAGTGCATAGCCTTTCAAACTGACAAGGATGTCTAAAACAACTTCCCATGATCCTCTTGGTCGTTCCAGAACCGAGATAGAGGTCGAAGTCACTGTGGCTATTCTCATTTGCCTCACAGCAGTGTTCGGTAACTTGCTGGTTCTTTATGTCGTCAACAGAGATTCCAGGCTCCGCAACGTCACCAACCTGTTCATTCATCATTTGGCGTTGACTGACATCGTCTCGGCAACGATAGACATGCCATTCTGGATAACGAGCCTATATACGGGAACTTGGAATTTTGGCCAAGTGTGGTGTCAGGTGGCAGGATCAACTTTTAATTTTTTGGGTTGTGCCTCCATACTGATGATGGGATTGATAGCCTTCAATCGATACATGAAAGTCGTAAAACCCACCCTGTATAAAAAAGTATTCCCCAATAAAAAAGCAGCTCAGATGTATTGTGTTCTCATTTGGCTGGTTGCAGTTTTAATGGCCATAACTTATCTGAGTGGATGGGCAGGAATAAAATTTCACATGCGACTTTTGATATGTTCCTCTGAGCACACTGCATACGGATTGGCTAGTGCAGGGGTGATTATTAATGGAGTCATGATTATGATATTTTATTGTCACTTTAGAATCTACAAAGCTGTAAGACAAAGCACGGAAAATTTAAACGCACACGCTGAAGGAAACGGGATCCGCTCTCTAAATGATACTGGCCGTTTTAATATCACTGAGATAAGAGTTTTAAATGCATGCTTCACTGTGGCTTGTTTTTTTGTGATAACGTACATTCCAGTCTACATTATTATCGTCACTTGGAATTTTAGGTTTGATGTACCTCAAACGGTCCATATAGCAAGCATTTTCCTGAAGTTCTCGGGTAGCATGGTAAATCCATTTATCTACGGCATTGTGAACCCGCTGTTCAAAGTGGCTTTCAAGAGGGCACTCAGTTTTGGTCGCTATGGTAACTCAGACACAAATCAGAATCTGTCAAGGAATCGAGTTGCAGTAGTTGAGATGACAGGTAGAAATTGGACGATATTTACACAGCATAATTGATCATCCAGCGATAGAAATGCCTTTGTGTATCTAATTATTTAAACTGATATTTCATTTTAATAGTTGATGGTACACAATCAATTTTCGAATATCATACACTTTGTATTGAGCGTACTGTAAATAAAGAAACTGATTTAGATTTGAAGTTGAAATGAACGATAACGAGCCCTTAATTTATTATCAAAATGATAACAGACAAGAAAAGGTCTAGCCGAAAAAAGACGCATTTTCTGGACTTTTTCATGAATCAAAATCAAATCGTATTCACAGAAAAGCTTATCTTTTAAAGGCGTAAACTTTTGTAGCCTTTATTTTTTAAAGATTAACGATAAAGAGCCAAAAGGGAGTATCCAGCCGGAAGTGTATGTTAATTTTCCTTAAGCCACGTCATGTTAATTTGACGGAAACTCGTCAATTCTACGAAACGTTCATCAATTTGTGAAGGTAGCGCAAACTTTGCTTATGACACGAAGATAACGAAAGAGTAGAATGGAAGAGTTATTAAACTTCATTCTCCTTATATTTTTCCCAGATATTTTCAACCCATCAAACAAAGCCCATTTGCCGAATACAAAAGATTGAAAAATGACATGTGATCGCTCGACTGAGAATAATATCGCCTACATTTGGAAACCCTTTTTTGATCTTAAGTTGGGATGCATGAACAGTCTCAGACAGAATTAACACCTTTCTAGAAGGGTTTAGTGTCTTTTTTAATCAAATTGCTATGAAGATAAAAGCACTTAAGAGGATTTTACTGATCATTGCAACCGTTGGTTAGTGAAACCATAACTCAATCCCTTTTCGACGGCAACATAATTGAGGAGCTAAAAGGATATAAAGAAAAATTATTTTCTTTATCGTAATTCTCTCTCTTGAAGAAGGGTTTTTAAAATGGGAAACGCTGGGGGTGCATTAAGATAGGCGTCTCTTTACTCCTGATACTTCAAAAAATTGTGCGCAAATACTGGGATTCCAGTCAAGTGTGTTGTCAAGTGGCTGTATCAGTTTCCCTCATTTTAGTTATGCCTCCATGTTAACGATGAGATTGATAGCCCTTAATCGATGCAAACAAGTCGTCAAACCTTCCCTGTGCAAAAAAAGGTTTTCCCTAGGAAAAGAGCAGCTCGGCTGTATTGCAGCTCGGCTCGGCTTATTTGGTTGCCATTCTGCTCGCCATTACTTTTCCTGGTGGATAAGTAGGGATATCATATCGCACAAGAACTGGCATTTTTTATTGCGGAGTTCACTGTATACATATCATTAAATGTAGGCGTAGTTTTTGTCGGTGTCATGATCATGATATTCTATTGCTACTACAAAATTTACAAACCTGTAAATAAAATACGAAAAATCGCGGCGCCCATTTTAAAGAAAATAGAGTCTGCTCCTCAAATGATTCTCGCGGTTCAAATACCACTGACGTAAAAGTTTCAAAGACATGCTTCTCTGTGCCTTTTTTTATATTGTAACGTGGACTGAAATCTCCATTATTGCCGTCACACAGAGAGCCGGCTTTGATGTTGCACAAAAGGTCTGTACAGCAAGCATTTTTCTGATGTTCTCGAGCAGTCTGGTAAATCCATGTATCGATGGGACTATGAATCTACAGTTCAAACTGACCTTTAAGAATGCACTTGAATGTGGTTACTATGACGCCCGGGACACGAATCAGAATCGAATAAGAAATGGAGTGAGACGTGAGCTTGAAAAAAATTAAAAAGCCCCAGTGTAAATAGCAACAGCCATCTGACTAAAACAACATTTACCCAAAGTTAACAGAACTCATCATCATTTCTGTTCCAAAAACAAGCACAGCGGTTTTAATTATGCGGGCTTTAGATTTAAGATAAACCAATCTATTTTTTAAGCCTTAGTAGCGGCTTCCTGCTGCTAAAACTATGCGAAATATTTCAAGAACTTGATGTCTTGATCAAGAGTTGTTATGCTTTCTTGGTATACTATAATATTTATGGTTGTGTTGCGCTGTATTGGTAGTTTGAAGAGAACAGCCATGTAGCCCAGGGCCGTTAGCAGAACTCAAATCGTATTTTGTTAGTTTTCAGTGTTTTGCAGTGAAAAAATGTTGAGGGCTTGTTAAGTGCTTTTCCTTTTTCTCTCCTCCGAGTATTCCTGTTCCATTAGCCTTGAGAACATCAATAGGAAAGAAAAACTAAAGTTTTCTAACCAAAAAAGGAAGAAAGAAGACCATCGTTTGCCGCTTTTTAGCAGGCTGTACTCGAATTCCTCTTGACTAGTGGTAATGAATTGTAAAGCTACCTCCGAACCCATATTCAGCAGTCACCCACGGGGAATGGCGCGGTGGCCGCTTAATAGAGATTGAATTAGTTTTATGTAGGAAAACCCGCTCAAAAATATCATTAGCATTGATTCTAGGGGATAATTATGGATTAAATATACTCGAGAGCTTTTCTTAGTTTTATTTGAGTATTTCTGCTTTAAGTGACCGTTCAATACAGGTAGAAGACAACAGAAACAGGCCTCTGGGACTCAGAAAAGGGTATGCCTGAATTCTGTGTAAATATTGTACCATTATGTAATGTTTCAAGAAGGAAAGTACTAGCTTGCAACACTTATACGAATTTCTATCACAATTATTGGGTTGCCTCGTATACTTTTTCTGCTCATGTAAATTTCATGACATTCATGTGAAAGGCACGTGAAAAGCATTTCAATAGCACTTGAGAAATGTTACCCATGTCACTTGCTCATGAAGTTTCAGTGTGTTCACGGCGAGTTGTATTTACATCGAATATTACACTTAGGTCTTAAACAGAGCCCATGAGTACCAAGTAACCCAATGTTAAAGCGTTGTTTTGAAAAGTAAAAGATGATGGAAAGGTCTTGGTCAAAAAAGGGTAACAGTTTGGGTGGATATGTGTGAATCCGAAATAACTGTAGACCTATACGACATACCATAGAGGATGTAGAACTAAGTCAAGATTGAAGATAGGTCATAATGAATTTTGCAACTGGCTGCGAGGAATGTCGACTTTCCTAGAAATGTTAGAGAGCGAGACGCGATTCTTTATTACGTACTATTTACAATTCAAACATCCGATACATCATTTACTTTGGCGACATTAAAGTAGAATAATTAATTGTATTCAAACATTTCGTAAGCGTACAATCCTGATCAGCAGTTTTATTGTATAAATGTGATGTTCCTTATGAAAGTAATGTCAGTTATAATGCAGTCTCTAATCCTGTTACAACCACGCGTCTTACACTATTTCCTGTTTGACTCTGATTTTTATTCCCCCTGCCATAGCAGCCACATTTAAGTGCCATCTTGAAAGCTAGTTTGAACTGCGGATTCATAATTCCGTAGATGAAGGGATTAACAAAACTACTCGAGAACATTAGGAAAGTACTTGCTGTGCTGAGCTGCTGTCCAAAGTCAAATCCTGCATTCCACGTGATGGCGATAATGGAAATTGGAGTCCATGTTACAACGTAGAAACAAGCCACAGTAAAGCACGCCTTTAAAACTTTCACGTCGGTGATGTCTGAACGGCGGGAATCATTTGATGGGCGGACTCTGTTTCCATCAGCGTGTGCCTTTAAAATATCCTTGCTTTCTCTCACGACCTTGTAGATTTTGAAGTAGCAGTAAAATATTGTGATCATGATTCCGGTTATAACTACGCCCACAATCAATAATATGTAAACACTGGACTCTACACTACAAATGCTAGTTCTTGTATAATATGTTATCCCCACCCATCCGCCAAGAAAAGGTACGGCGAGAAGAATGGCAACCAGCCAAACGAGAACACAATACAACCTCGCTGCTCTTTTACTGGGAAATAAGTTTTAGGACAAATTGGGTTTTACGACTTGAATGTATCGATTTAGGGCTATTAATCCCACCGTTAACATGGAAGCATAAGCCAGAATGAGCAAAATTGATCCTGCCACCTGACAACATACTTGGCTGAAATTCCAAGTTCCCGTATATAGGCTCGCTATCCAGAATGGCATGTACATCGTTGCCATGGCAATGTCTGTTAATGCCAAACTGTGAATGAACATGTTGGTGACATTATGGAGCTTGGAGTCTCTTTTGATGACAAACACAACGAGTAAGTTCCCGAACATGGCTGAGAGGCAAACAAGAGTGGCCATAGTCACTTCGACGCTAGTTTCAGTCCTTGAGCGACCGATAGGATCATGAGAAGTTGATTCAGACATGTTCGTCATCTAGTGAGGTTATCCTCGGTTAGAAATCTCCTTTTGAAACAAACAACTTGGCATTGTGTAATCTAGGAAATAAAACGCCAAACTATGTGAAATATTTGTTTTGAAACAAGATGATTCACCTCTAAAATTGAGCGAAAGCAGAGAATTATATAAAATGAAATCCAAGGCGCTGTTCAGGCACCTTACGATCGGCTATTCAATTAGGATCTTTGTACAAAGTCTATGCAGGTAATTTTCTGAACAATAATCTCATTTTCATTTTTTTTCTTTTTTCATATTTTGCCTTCAGGAAAAGATAATAACCAATTGCCTCGAATCGAAGAGAAGGTTTAAGTTTTAAAGTTTTTACAAGCCAGCAAACAAAACTTCATTTAAGTAAAGTCTTTACATTTTTTGCAACATCAGTGAATTGTTTTCGTGGACGCTATGGACATGAATTAGCACAAAATATGTTTAAGATAAATGATTTAAGAGAGAGTACATTTCCATCTAGTGTAAATACCGTAGTTACTCACGAGTTGTTGTCGTATCAGGAGTTAACAAACGATTCTGTATAGGATATTTAGCGGTGATCGCATTATTTGCTCTTAAGCTTTTCAGAATATTTCTAAGAACTCGTGGTTTGCTGCCAGCTTGAAAAAAAAAGATCTCTTCGAGCAACTGATTTGCATTGGAAACTAAAACTTAAGAGGACTGTAATGACTTATCCTTCCCCTTTCTAACTCGTGAATTGCACGCATGCGCAAGAACGAGTTATAGATACGATGTAGGGGAATAGCGCTCGCTCGCTCGCTCGCTCGATTGGTCGATTCCTGTAAACTTTTTTTTTTCGATTTTAGGCTTTTGAGTGCATTTGATAGTTTTTGGAGAGCAATAAACAAACGAAATGGCGACCTTTGTTGCTAAGAATAGTGGTGGGGTGAAAAAGAAGCCAATGATAATCTTAAAAGTGTTTTTTTTTCGTTTTAGTTTCAACAAGCGGCGCCAGCGACTGGCAGGCATGCAAGGATTCACACTGAAATAACAGAACAACCTTCGTTTTTCATAAAATTGTAATTTACAATCCTTGAACTTGAAAACAATCCGAAGATTCATTGAAAATATCACTTACTGCGAAGTGCACAGAGTTTACAGATGTATCGTGTGTTTTTCCTGTGTGAAGCAACAAAAGATGCCGGCGACTGACGAAATTACAAGTTAACACGAAAATCAAATAACACTAAAACAAACAATTTTAGCTACCGATTTTCAGTGAATTTTCAACGAACAATTTTCTTTTAATTTTCAAGACAATTGGAAGATTCAAATTACGTATTACGAACTAAAATGCGAAAGTTATACACCACAAAATTGATAAATAGGCCTGAAATGAAATTCTATCTTGTTATCGATTATAAGTTGCCTAGCACGTGACTAAAACCTAAGACAGTATTGCCTTGATTTTCTAATATTTGCAATGATAGACAGTAAATTTCACTTTTCACCCACATTTACTTCCAACCTTTTCTTTTGAACCAGAAAAAAAAATGATATACGTTTAAAACACATGGCATCATCCACCCTTGTCAAATGTACTAGCATGACCATTTCAATTGTAATGCCTTCTTATCCCAACGTTACTTTGTTTCTTTGCTACATTAGCGAACACTGAACTACTGCTTGTACTCTAGATACGACAATCAACCACAAAATTCCCTAAACCAGATAACATTAAACATAATCCAAAAAATCATGTGTCAATTCACGAGTTTGCTCATAGAGCACTTTGATTAACTTTAAAATTCAAGAGATTATCTTTCGTTACCTTAGAAAAATGTTGAATTGTGGTTCCACTCGGCAGGTTAACGATTGAAGAAGTTTCTAGTAAAATCCTCGTAAGATATCTCATGGAAAAATATCTTCGAGAGACTGATTTACACTGAAAACTGCATTTTATCCTTGCGACAATGACTTATATTGCCATCCTTTCAGCTTCTCAAGGCTGAAAGGTTGACATTTCACAATACTTTTTTTCTTACCTTTGGAAAAGGATTGAGTGGTGGTTCACTCGCCTGCGACTGTTATAGATCGAAGAAATGATTAGTAAAACCCTCTTAAAATCTTTAATTTTCCATAAAATTTAATATAAAAGAAACTAGACTCTGGACAGATGTTAGGGGTTTTGCAAAGACTACTTAGATATCTTAAAGTATCCCTACTTAATAACAACAAAAGGTTTGTAAATGTAGGCAATGTTATTCTCAGTCGGGGGATCACAGTTTGTTTACTAAATTTCCAATCAAAAACTGAGGTTTTTTTGATGCGTTAAAAACATTATAGAAAAAAACTTAACAAAAGCGAGTGTTCTGAACTGTCTGACTCAAGTCTTTGAATATCTTTGCTGCATTAGCAAAGTGTGCGCTGGGTTCACGGAATTACTAAAATGAAATGTTTCTTAGGATGTGCACGACAAAATTATCGCAGAATTTCCGCCTTACTTTCACAAAGAGGCTTATGAAAATTTAACATTCGCCTTTGGCTTATGTTGGATTATTTTTTCAGCTATGTTGTCGTTAAAAAAAGTTACAAATAAAATTTTATAAAAGTTCCCGCTTTAGAAACATAATTTTTCCGCGATTGCACCTGGATTTGTGGTTAATTAAATTCAGGAAAATTTTTACGACGAAACCCTCTTCTTCTCTTTAAATTTGATTTTCAATTAAGTAAGTTCAAGGTTTTTCAACACTTTTCTGGTATTCGCTGGAGGTAAAGTAGCACGGAGATATTTTAATGTGACGGTGTCACAAACCTCTCACCTCGTGCGGTAAACGTTTCGATGAAGATCCGAAGTCTGAGATACTATATAAATTTTTCTCGATTTCCTAACTTCAATTCCCAATTTTTTTGTTTCGTATGGTAATAAAAACCATCTGCGACACCCCCGTGCATCCACTTTTCTACAGCACTTCACCGCCAATTTATGTAATATGATATTTTAACCTCGGTTTTCAATACGCATTTGATTTGCGAACTTAACTAACCTGCATTTATTATTCGTTGTAAAAGAAATATATCAGAACAAACAAACAAACAAAATGAACTCTTTTTTAATTAAGATCCACGCCACGGTGACGTTTTGGAGCCTGGAATCTCTGGGTTCTGTGATAATGACACTAACGACGAGCAAGTTACCGAAGATGGCTGTGAGGCAAAAGAGAATGGCCATATTGACTTCGACATCAGTTTCAGCTCCGGATGACCAAGAGGATCATAGGAAGTGATTCAGACTTGTTCGCCAGCTTTAGGGTTACGCTCAAACTTATCATGTAAGTTTGAGCGTATCATGATGATTCAACTCTTTGGTTAAACTAAAGGAGGGAATGGTAGATTGACTTTGAATGCAATTGATTTTTGGTTTTACACTCTGTTGATCGAGATATTGGCGACAATTCTTCAGACCAATCATCGTGTGTACACTGCAAATGAATGACTTTTGACACTCAACTGAAAGTAACTCATCTGGGAAACTCTACTGACTTGAAACGAGCGGTTAAATTAATCTTTAACTACATGCACAACAGTGAAGATGCACAAAAACATTTTCTATAACACTGATCAAGGATCATCCTGATAGAAATCCCTAGCTAGTTATCCAAAATAATTTCGGGGTAAGTTTCTAAATAAACTGTGGTGCTGCGTAGGTGGGAGAGTATAACAGGGTAATTTAGGCTGACATTTCGAGCGTTAGCCCTTCGTCAGGGCGATTGATCGAAAGGGCTAACACTCAAAACGTGAGCCCTTTAACTCTTTACGGTGGCCAACTTACGTTATCAACTCGGTTGATAACACTAAATTACCCCAAAATAATTTCGGTCATATTTAATCGGTTTTTGCAACCATTTTGAAGCCAAAAGTGGCTGGAAAGACATTATATTTCGGAAGCGTTTTATGGCGATAAGTTATATATATATATATATAAATCATTTTTTTTTATTTATTTATTTATTTTTTTTGGCACGGGATATGTGAAAAACTAGTAATATGCTACCATTAAGAAACGATTTGATATGAAAGTATTCGACTGCGACACGTGTACAGAATAAAGTCCGATTCAGCTTTAAAACTGTTCTGTTCCCCAGAGCAATTTCACACAAGAGAAACTTAAAAAGTTAACATCGCACATCTGAAAGTTTCGTAAATTGTTTGTAAATATTCCTTCCCGCGCTCTGCGTAAATATTTAAATAATAATAAACATAGCACTTCTAGAAAGGGACTACAACTTTAGAGATTAAAATGTTTGCAGCCTCAAAACAAATAAAAGCCATTGAAAGTAAGCTGACAGGCTTTTCTCACACTATGTACCACAAAGTCGAAATCATTCATAGCATTTTCTCTGCAGAAACAAAGCAGAAAAACACTTTCAGCTTTAATTTTTGATTTGAATACTGAAACTGGAATAACTTACAGCTACTGCCTATGTAGTCCTAATAATCAGTTTTGTTGTCTTAATTTAATCTTGTTAAAAAAAAAGGAATGTCAGTTATGCTGTAGTCTCTAGTCTAGCAAGCAGCACTGATGATTAGTTTTCATGCGTAAATGTCGTCTCCGCATTCTCCGCAGTCTCTAATCTCCGTCCAATCTCGCGTTTCGCTCCATCGGGCTCTTGGTTTCAAATTGCGAATTTCGTATGATATGATACCCTTGCCCATCCGCTAAGATAAGGTGTGGCGAGAAAAATGGAAAACAGCCAAACGAGAGCACAGTACAGCCGAGCTGCTTTTTTACTGGGGAATACCCTTTTGTACAAGCTGGGTTTTACGACTTTTATGCATCGATTAAAGATTATCAATCTCAGCGTAAATATGGAGGCATGAACCAAAATAGAAAAACAGATCCGCACAACTGACACCACACTTGGCCGAAATTCCAAGTTCCTGTATATAGGCTCGCTATCCAGAATGGCATGTTCATCGCTGCCGTGGCAACAGCAATCAATGCCAGATTATAGGTAAACATATAATAAGAGAGATTGTAAGTTTTGAGCTCGGTAAAGAAATATAGATAAATGTTTTTCGTCTTGTTACGAGACAAGACGAAAGAAATAGAGAAATACGTCATTCGTCTTGTCACGAGACAAGACGAAAAACATCTTGCTCTATTTCTTTACCGAGCTCTTATTCTATTTACAAACAGGACGCCATCGACTATTGGTGATCCTAGCAGTATGTGGGACGCGTGTCATATGAACTTCGTAATAGACCTCGCTCACCGAAGAGTCTGTGGCTCTATGACAGAGCATCGATGGTCTGAGGTTAGATTCCTCGTGGGGACTCAGAATTTTTTTTTTGTCCTACGCTTGTGACAAGACGAAAAATATCTTTCTCCAAAAACCACATAGTTTCCAAATGAGCATCATTGCCTAGAAAAATAAACATTTTTTATATTCATTTATATTAATTGCTGTAATCATTTATTGGCCAAACAAATCTATCCCTTACACAGAGGAACTTGTATAAATGACAAGCATGCATGAGAGTAACGAAGGTTTTTTTTTTTTTTTTTTTTTTTTTAGATTTTTTTACACGAGATTTATAAATATTTAATTAAAGCTGATGATAAAAAAAAACTTAAGGAAAGGTAATACAAATTAAAAAATTTATGTTTGCCTCTAGCTTCACTTTAATCTCCAGACAACTATCAAATGGATTCATTCATAAAGTAAACTAAAAACGTCTGTCGTGTTGTCCCAATAATTAGAATCTCTGTTATCGATAGAAAAAAAAGGACTTCTAACTTAATAAGCTTATGATATGAACTTTTTTCTTTGCGTATTTATTTACCTTATCATATGAACAAACCAATTCCGAGAGAACAAAAATTTCAAAAAATATCAAAACTCGGTTTTTTTCAGGCCCTACAGCCTTCTTATTTTGTCTTAATGAGGTGATGAAGTGGGAAACTGTGAAAACCCTCAATTGACACTAACAAATCTCTCACATCTCTGGTAATTTTGTTGCATTCAACGTTAAAATGCTCTTAAAATAAATTCCGATAACGATGTGTAACTGCCTTTAGCAAGTTCTACCGAGGCTTGTGATACATTGTACTGAAGTAGTAAAGAACAAATGGAAGTTGTGAGTACGGTTCAGTCTTGAAACATAAAACAAATGTCTATTATGCCGCAGTCTCTAATCCTCTTGCAACCTCCCGTCTTACTCCATTCCTTGAGTGATTCTGATCTGTGTTACCGTTTCCAAAACGACTACAACTCAGTGCCTTTTTGAAAGCCACTTTGAACTGCGGATTAATAAATCCGTATATAATTGGATTTACTAGGCTACTGGAGAACGCCAAGTAAGCACTTGTTGTATGGAACGTTTGAGGAATATCAAACCCAAGAGTCCAAATGACGGTGATAATGGAGATTGGAGACCATGTTAACACAAAAAAAACAGGCCACGGTGACACATGTCTTTAAAACACTTACGTCGGCCATATTGGAACGGCAAGAATCATTTGCACAGCGGACTCCGTTTCCTTCAGCGTGCGCGTTTAAATTTCTCGTGCTTTCTCTGACAGCTTTGTAGACTTTGAAGTTACAATAAAATATTATGATCGTGAGTCCGATAAGAATCCCACCTGCGCTAGTTATTTTGTATACATTGTTCTCTGGGATACAGATGGCAAGTTTCTTATGGTATGATACCGCTGACCATCCAAAAGATAAGGCGTTGCCAGAAAAATGGAAACCAGCCACACGAAAACACAATACAGCCGAGCTGCTCTTTTGCTGGGAAATACTTTTCTGTACAGGGTGGGTTTTACGACTTTTATGTATCTATTGAATGCTATCAATGCTATCGTGAATATAGATGCAGATGCCAAAATATGTGATGTTGATCCTACTACCTGACACCAAACTTGACCGAGTTTCCAGGTATTCGTGGACAGACTCGCTATCCAGAATGGCATACTTGTCATCGCCATGGCGATGTCAGTCAATGCTAGATTATGAATAAACATGTTAGTCACCTTGTGGAGCCTGGAATCTCTGTTGATAACATAAACAACCAGCATGTTACCAGACATAGCTGAGAGCAGGACGATAGCAGCCATCGTCATTTCAACTTTAATTTCAGTTCTGGAACGACCAAGAGGATCATGTAGAGGTAATTCAGACATGTTTTTCAGCTTGTAAGGTTACGTTCGGTTTGGAAAAAAAAACTTGACCAGTAAAACCTAGGTAAAAAAATGACAGGCAAACTATGTTATATATGTAGCATTTACATCATTGTGATTCAACTCTAAAGTTAAGGGTGAAGGCAAAGAGTAGATTCAGATTTAAAGACAAGTTCAGATTGATTATGGTTTCGCATTTTGGTGGTCGATGGACCAGCTCGAATTCTCTAGACTCACCAACGAACATGGTGAAGGAAAAGCAATGCAATTTCCCTTTCCTAAAAATCGAACAAATATGTCACTGATAAACCTCTTTTCTCATTGCGAAATTTCCCCACAATAATCCAGAAGACTGTCATCCTCAGTTAATTTTTATATGCGTGAACCTGCTATGTAAAATCTACCTATTAGAAATAGGAAATTCAATGAACAGATTTTATAATAATGTTCGGATGTGACGCGCGCTGTCCTTGGTTAAAAGAGCATGCTCTATCAGACTTCAAAGCATAGAGCTGAGGTAAAACTGTCACACCATCAACCAAGTTGTATTATGTCCAACCTTTTCCGGGACCCTCTCTGACTTTTATTCGTTAATTGAAGTTGAAATTTTGGATCAAGCAAGCCTACAAGTAGCAACAGAAGAGCCAAACTACCACCAAGCGGCGTAATTAGCGTCATTATAACGTGAGCAGAGACGAAAATCCCTAAAGAGAAAACGAATTGAATGGACAGTCCGGATTTTGAAGGTTTTCACGCTCAGTTAGATTCTAAGCTTACTTGCGATATTAAAAATCACGCCTAGCTAACAATCGTATAAATATATATATATATATATATATATATATATATATATATATATATATATATATATATATAGTTTCGTGTTCAAAAATAAAACAGAAAAAAAAACATGAATGATGAAAATATAACCAAACTGGTGTAACTGTTAAAATTCATACAAATCATGACGGTGTCAGATGGAATACGAATCTTGCTGAGAACCATCGCGGCTAGCTCATCATGGCGATCTCCCGTCATCGCAGTGAAGCAAGCCTCAGAAGTTACATCGGTCACCCCTCGAGTGAACAACTAACAGCTTGCTCTGATATCCTTTTCGACGCTTTGGGTCGAAGGCCACATCAATCACACCAGCCGAGTTTTACGGCGCTGTCATCCTGAGCAATCTTCTCGGCTTTGGTTCATTCATAAAACACAAGCCTCGAGCAGTTTGTTTACAATTTGTCATTTGGAAAAACTTGGCTCGATTTCACTGGACATTTCACTCTCAGAAAACTGTTTGCATCTTGGAACAGATAATGTCCGCGGTAAAATATTCGTAATTATTGTTTTTTTTAGAGGGCACGGTAACGAATCTTGCAATCTGATTGGTTCTTTACCCTGTCAGTATTTTCCTATCTCTGCCCACGGGCCACGGTAACGCTTTCGTGAGTCGCCGAGTACATCCCAACTTTCGTTGTCATTTTTTCATAAATATACCTCGTTTTGCCCGCTGGGCAGTATTTTTAAGCAAACACGTCGGTCACTACCTCAAGCCGATAAATAACTTATGAATCCTCTCTTTTCTCTCTATCAAATCACTGTGGTTGACAGAAAAATATTGGTTTCAGAATGAATTTGAATAAACAATAGTGTCATTACGTTGGTTGACAAGCGGCCTAAAAACCGTCTGCAATTAATTATAATCGTTCACAAAAAGTACCCAGAAAGTTGAAACGTGAAGTATTTGGTTACAGTTAAACTGAACGATGGAACTTTCATTCATTTAATATCTGAATTTTCTCGAGCAATTTGTTCGTAGTGAAAGAGCGAGCGAAGTTTTAATTTAAGTTCTACAACAAATATACGCTCCTGGTGAGTCTTTCCAATTCCGTTCAATTTAGACATTTGTACTGTAAATTGCACAACAGAAATTGAAGGAATTTTTTGAGAAAAGGCCGCATTAAATTCCCTTGTGTCTCGTTGGAGTGTGCCGTTCGAATTTAGTTTTGTGAAGGAAAGACCAGAGTCACACACGCCATTGCAGCAAACAAACGAGCAAACTCTCACAACTTCAAAGTAAAAAAATTGAATTTACTCACAATTACTCTCCTCGCCGTTTACTTAATGAACAAAGGTAAATCTTCGTACATGAATGAATGGTCGATGAGAGTGAATAATACTTTCCGTTAGATCATTGACATCATTGAAGAAAACATTGTCGTGACAGTCCTTGCCAAACTAGTTCTGATGTTTTTCAAATGTTCCTACGCTTTTTTTTTCTTGCGCGCTCTCTAATTGACAGGTGTCAGATTGTGACAGATACTTGTAAAAATAATGTTTCAAACTTTGTTTGGAAGCCTTTTAAATAACCTTTATCGTTACGGAAATGAAAATGTTTCGCTGAGGCATCTCTCTTTAATTTGCATCACCTCTATTTTAACTACCATTTACTCACTCAAAAATTGTTCAGTTTATGGAAGATCTTGCCGTATTTACAGCCCTAAATCATTCGGGTTCTTTCGGAAAGAATTTCGTCAAGTTTAAAAACAATAAATATGTTATTTACCGGCCAAGGGTCGGTCCATATGGTGAAAAACTGTGACCGAGGTCACAGTTTTTCACCACACGAACCTCCCAGCCGGCAAATAACATATATATATTTTTGCGCCAAATAGTGGCTATTGTTTATGTAACATGTGAAATAGGGTAATATTCGCAACTGGTCCACTTACTCTTTTCATAAATGAAATGTTCAAAAATATTTTGTTAACTCCGATGAACCCAGATACAAGTTATGTGGTTTTTCATTGATTATGGGAAAAAAGTTACTTTTTCTGTGTCCCTCGCAGAATGAGCCGGTTTGAATTCCTTCTCGTAAAATAAGAAAATCAGGGAATTCTTTTCATTTTCCATTAAGAAAATCGTGGGGATTCAAATCTTAAAAAAAATTATTCAGAGGTACTCACACTCATGTAAACGAACATCCAGTGGATATGGCTGTGTCATGCTCGTTTCCGTGCATCCTGAACGACTCGTCGCTAACCAGAATGATTTTAAAATAGGTGTTTATCTTCTTGAAAGACTCTCTTTAAGACACTCATCAGCGACGACGATACCATCAGCCACTTATTTGGCTGATAATGATAGATATTTTTGGTTTTAAGTCGGCGACGGCAAACAATCGAGGAATTGATCACAAAATACCTTTTGGTACATTTTATTCTTGAAAATACTCATATTAAGTCTCCAACATCTACAAACATCTGTTCTGGCTCCCAACAATTCGGAAACCGATTGCAGTATGGAAATTTTTAGCTTTTACAGAGTAACTGAAAAAAAAATACGAGCACCCTGACTGGTAAAATAACAATCGTTTATTGCATCGGTAAATCCATAGAAAATTGAATTAGTTTAAAAGAAATATACCACACTTTCTATCAGTTTTCAGGGGTAATAACTTATGTGGGATGTTGAGAGAACACTTGAGAAGTTTTTATATCAATATTCCCCGGCTAGTAATTAAAAAACTTTTGTCGTGTTCTCCAAATAATTAAAATTTCTATGAGTAATAGGAAAAAAGGACTTTTAACTTAATGATAAATATAACAAAGACAACTTTGACCGGAAAAGCGATCGACTTTTTCAGAAAATTACAGTTTACTTCATCCAAGCAATGAAATTTGTAAAATGCTTGTGATTACCTTTTTCGAAGATTATATTCTGGCTCTGTTATCTTGATAAGGATGTGTTTCAAAATAAACTTTGACAAAAGGATTTGCAAATATAGATGTGATTCTCAGTCGAGCGCTCAGAGTCTGTTTTCCAGTTTCATCGTGTACTTTTAGATCGTAGGAATACCAAGCACTAACGAGATTTGTTTCAAGCGTTGAAGATATTGTAAAAAAAACCCTCTTCTTTGCAGGTTAATTTAGTGTTATCAACTGAGTTGATAACGTAAATTGGCTACCTTAAAGAGTTTAAAGGCTGAGGTTAGCCTCTTTGCGGTAGCCAATTTATGTCATCAACTCAGTTGATAATACTAAATTACCCTGTGACACTCTCCCACCGACGCAGCAACAAGGTTTCTTTAGAAACCTACCACCTTTGTTCAATCCTCTTCTTTACAGTTTGGCGGTAATTCTATGATCTGAACCTTTTACTCGTAGGGCGGAGATAATACAAGCTTATTGAGTTTTTCAGGAATAGTTTGTATAACAGTGTTCACAGTCAACGTGTTGGAAACGGCACTAAAAGCCGCCGCTCTTCCGCGTGAAAAGTTTATAGTTCTACAGTTCATTGACGGTGTCGTTTGGCTCATCGACTTTACCCTGCTGGTTTTTTTTTATAGCATGGTTTACAAAAAAAAAACGAAAACAGAGCCGACGTCAGATCAACCGTATAACCACCAAGATCGAAAGCAGAATTACCTATTAAGGTATTTCTGATAATAATTAAGGTATTTCTGATAACCGTTGCCGTTGCTCTTCTCTTCAATGCGCAGCTGAAGCGAAAGAGTCATACAAATGGCAACTGCTGTTGTCCATGTTTGTTCAATTTTCGGAGGTTTACAGGTTTGCCAACGAAATACGAGGTGGTATTTCCTCCAAGAATTGAGCAGCTAAGTCTAGTGGTCGTGTAGCAGAGACTTGAAATAAACTCTCAGGGAGCTAAGTAAGACTAACGTTTGCTCTCTTGTTGATATTAGCGTTTTGAACAAGGAAAGCCAATTTGGAACAGATAATATCCGTGGAAAAATATGCGTACACATTTTCGTGCCAAATACAGGCTATTATTAATGTATCATATGAAATTGGTTAATATTTGCAACTGGTCCACTCACTCTTTTCATAAATAAAATGTCCAAAAATTTTTAACTTCCATGAACCCAAATACACGTTTCGTTGCTTTTCTTTTGTTGTAAAAAAGAGACACTTTTCCTGTATCTCTCGCATAGTGAGCTAGTTTGAATTCGTTGACGTAAAATATGTAAATCCGAGATATCC